TGCAACGTTGCTCAAGCAATTTGGTTTACACGCTGGAATATCATTGCACACGCTACGCCAATATTGGATTCAAGGAGCCGTTTGGTGTCTAACCCGTTTCTTTCCCCAAGCAGTTTACGGTTGGGGTTAGTTTTAGGAAAGTACACAGGCCACACAACCTGGCTTCTACAGTTCGCTCGCGCGCTGTGTTCTTCTCGTGTCCCATGTCGGTACTTGGCTTGGCCGCGCTAGGCTATCTTGTCCGATGCGCTGTTGCGGGCCCTATGTCAACACTGATGCATATTGTCCTCGGATCCTCTCGTGACATACATCCTTTAATCACTTACAACATGCGCCCTGGGAATCAGGAACTACTAGCTTCAAAGCTTTTTAAACACGCCGTCTAATATATATATATATATACAAACGCTATACCGACAACGTGTGTTTCTTCAAAATGTGTGGTGTCCCTCGTACGCTGTCGTGAGGCTGTGGGAGCAACAGCGGCGCGGCGTTTCAAACTTGTTGCCATCCCCGGATTTTCTTATGGCGTTGAAATACCCTTTCGTCTTGGCACATGTGACCCGGGAAGCAAGAACTATTGTTTCAATAAGCAAATGATTCAATGGAAATACGCGAAGGTGTAGAGCGGGGTTTGGCGCAGCAGGTCTTGCTGCTCGCTGAAGGGCAGCCCGCGGAAGGCCTTTGAGGCCTTCCGGCCCGCCCTCTTTGCCTTCATGTTGGACCTCATCCGTGCCGCGTCTGCTTGAATGCAACTTGACAACGCGCAAAAAGACACGAAGATACGAGCGAAAAGGCAAGACGTGAAAATGTGAGAGATGTAGACGCGAACTGTACAGTAAAGTTGTGGGATGGGAGGATGCATGTTAACCATTCCTCTTGAGGGCCAACCCGAATGTACACATGCACTCGAAAACAACTAGCCAAACGTTGTTTGACACTCTTGTGGATCACTCCTGTAAGAGACGCTCTTGTGCAACGCTCTTCTGGGACACTCTTGTTGCGGGGCACCTTGGTAGGACGCTCTTGTAGGAGACACCCTCCGGGGAAACTTGCGGGGCGCTCTTGTGGGGCACACTTGTGGGGCATTCTTGTAGTACACTCTTGTGCGAGACACTCTTGTGGGACGCTGTTGTGCGACACTCTTATGTGGGACAGTGTAGTGGGACACTCTCGTCCGACACTCTTGTGGGGCGCTCTGGTTGGACACTGTTGTAGGAATTTTTGTTTGCGGAGTGCTCTTGTAGGAGACGCCCTTGTAGGACACTCTCGTCTGACAGTTCCTCTTACGACACTCTCGTGGAACAATGTTGCGCGACCCTTACTCTTGTGGGACACCCTCACGAGACACTCTTAGGACATTCTTGTGGTACGAGACTCTTGTCGGACACTCCTCGAAAACACTCTTGTGGAAACTCTTTGTTGGACACTCTCGTAGGACATTCCTGTGGGGCGCTCTTGTAGGTCTCCAAAACGAGACCGTCGAACGAGACGCCTTCCAAGAAAGCCGAGCGTTTCATACAAGATTTTCTCCAAAAGTGAAGCGGGAAGCAGCCCTGCCAAGCAATTTAGCAATCCCAGCCCCTCAAAAACGACAGCCGTTGACGAACATTTTCGACACTTCCAACACGCACAAAAAATTGTGCCGGCCACGAACGGTCACGACATGACATGTCTTCAGCGAAAGTTGCACCACACCACATGTTTGCGAGGGTTTCGGCGTTTTCGAGCACACTCACATCTACCAACGTCGCGCTGCTTCAATGCAATAGCGTGAAACGCAAGTCCCACTGTCACAGCGACGTCTAACTCCTCCAACAGACCACGCATCCCCTGTCGCAAAGAAGGCAACTGAGGATTTCACAAAACCCTGCGCCTGCGCAGCAAAATCCTCATCCACACTTCAACATCTTAAGTTTCCACACTATTTCACGCGACCCTTGTTTTTCATGCTTCCATCAAAAGCCTTCCCCAAAAGCTTCCCCTGCTGCCAACACCATAGCGCGCCGACCGGGAACGGTCACGGTCGATTGCGGACGGTTGCGAAAGCCACGACAAAGCGTCGCGAACAAGACTACTCCAGACCTCGCTCGTCCTACCCTGTCTGAGACGCAGCGGCGCGCCACGGAGGAGCTTCGTGAGCGGCCCTGCATACAAGGTGGAAAGGTCTGCTTTGCTCGCGCCCTGGCAGTGCATCCGCTCCGATTTTTAAATCGCAGGGCCCCAATACCACCGGAGCTGGGCAACAGGTGGTGTTCCACTTGGTTCAAGCCACTGCCGCCCCTGATTCTCTCATCCTGTCGCTGCTTGTGTCCAACCAGCAGCTTGCGCGTGGATTGATTCTTATTGGCTGCTTTGTCCTCAATACTCTGAATGCTCTCTTTCTGGCAATGGAAAGCAAAGGGGCGCATGTAATCAACGCAAGGGCTCGCAAGCCCAGGCCAAGCTTTCGTCACCGTGGCGAGCAAGTGGGTCAAAAGGCCTGATGTGTTCTGACATATGTCCGACATTTGTTCTAAAATGTGTTCTGTCACCTTGTGTTCTGATATGTGTTCCGCCAAAGGTCCAGCGCGCACCACTCCCACAACCCGACCCGCCAAAGGTCCAGCGCAAGTCACCAGCCCGGAGCATGCCATACCACAAACCTAGAGACCCTGCACCTGATGTGTTTGGGGCAAAAAAAAGGTGTTTGAGCCTCTACGTATATATATGGCCCCCAAATAAAAAAGGTCCCAAATCGCCTTCTTTGCTTCTTCCTTTTTCTTATGTTGATTGATGTCTCTTTTATGCTTTAAAGTTCTTCTGCCTTGACCAAGATCCCTTTCTCTACCAAACCGGACCTTCTTCTCCTCCACACCCAAAGCGCCCAGCTTGGTGGACGTATAGGCCGAAACGTAGCCGGAGATCACGAAGAATCCGCCCACCAGCACGTTCTCCTGGTGATTCTGCGTGTTTTGAACACAGCGAACCCTGACCCCGCCCGGGCTAAAGAAAAGGTCACCTAAGAGCGCCTCCAACCTACAGGCTTCTTGAACCCTTTGGAAACCAGGTCTTTTGGAATTCCCGAAGATTAGTAGCGTCCTTGCTCCTGGTAGTAATGCCAGGAGCTACTAGTAGCTTCTTGTTCCTGACAGATCCTGGCGAAATCCTGTGACTCTCGGCGCGGGCGTCCTGAGTGAGCAGTTTCAGCGCAGTGAGGTTGCCTCATCCATCGTGAAACACAGAGGGTGGTTTTCACCTACAGCTCCTGGCTAGCAGTTGATCTTGCAAAATACCGCATGAAACTTTGATGCTGGGAGTTTATGCAATGCCAAACACCATGATCACCCTGGGATCGGTCCAATCCTCTGTAAAGACACATTCTGAAGACACCGATCCCAAACTTTGAGAATGAATTTGAGAGACTTCGGCTCTGAATTACACTTTGCGTGCCAAGATTTGAGACAAGAAAAGGGAACGTCAGCGGCGACTGCCAGCGTGGGAGTTGTGTGGCAGAACTGGTTCGATTTGTGTCCATCTATTGTTGTTTGCTATCCAAACGCATCTAAAAGCCGTCACAAAATCGATGAAATTCTGGCAACACCATCGATAGAACGGCTGTGGGAATGCTACAAAGCCGGCTGCTCTTGAAAGAACCCCCGAATAGATCTTGCAGTTGGAGGCCATCGCTATTAGGTTGGAGGCCACCGTAGTGTTGTTTTTCTCCAGGGGGGACTTGAAAGACCAAAGGGCGTTCAACCGTGTTCAACAGTCAAGTCGCTGGTGCCGAAGCGAGCGAAGTGCGCCACGACGATGGGAAAGACCAACGCGAAGCGGCAGCCATCAATGCAGTCCTCATGGTCGAGCATATTTGTTGGATTGGCATAAGTCAGGATTTGATAAACACCTGGTCAATTCGATTCGACCAAAATCAATATGATTCAATCTGTCTGAATTCATTCATGACAGGGCTACCCTCCCTGCTCGCATAGGAGTGACAAAGGAGCACGACCTTTTGCAGGTTGCTAGTAGCTTCTTGTTCCTATCAGCGTCCTTGTTACTACTAGTAAGGCATTTGTTACTAGAAGCGATGCACTTGTTACTAGAAGCGATGAAGGGCCTAAAGGTCTAAAGGTCCAAAGAAAGAAACACGGAAGGAAAAGGTCCAGGGACGGGAAAGGAAAGACAATAGAAATGACGAAGAGAAATACATTCTCCCTGAGCATTCTTGTATCTGTAAGATGCAGTTTCTCCAGAATACGTGGAGGTAAATTCGCTCAATTCCTTCCAAGTGGCTAATCTGGGCTTCTTTGCCACGGCGGCAGGCTTCGCTTTGGCAGCCTCAGCCATCGCCTGGTGGCTGCGGGGTGCTCACGTTCGTGTCATGCTGACGGGAATCCAAACATACCCGTAAAATGCCAATCCATATCCTTGGGATTTTCTCAAAGAGTTTTCAAGCTTTCTCACACTCCACATGCCAAGTGGCTGGAAAATCCTGTGCTCTTCAACTCACTACGAGACGCCGAGATGTTCTTCGAGCCAAATTAAGAAAAAGAGCAACAAGCGACCGCAATGTAGCGAAGTGGGGCATACCACCACCTCCCCAAATCGCGATCTTTCTTGGACACCTGGTCCAAACTGCATCCGTTTCGCTTCTGTTTCTACTCCTACCAGTAGCAAGGACGCTACTAGGAGGTCTTTGAAGCTACTAGGAACAAGAAGCTACTAGGGCTCCTGGCCATACTACTAGGAGCAAGGACGCTACTAGGGGCTCCTGGCATCGCTACTAGGAGCGATCGGACGCTACTAGTAAACAAATGCTTCTGTTTCTCCTATCTAGACTCCTATAGGTCCGAGAGGATTCCTTTGCTAGTAATTACAATTAAATTCTTATTTAATTTAATTGTTTCTACTAGCTTCTTGTTACTACTAGTAAGGCACTTGTTACTACTAGCGATGTTACTACTAGCGATGCAAGTGCTCCTATAGGTCCGAGAGGATGCCGCTCCATGGGCTCCGACCGTTGTCGTCACAGTCTTCGCTCCAACCGAGGATGTATCCTGCCGAGCGGGGGCACCATCGGATTCTTGAATCCAACAAATCACCAAGAGTAAACACAAAAAGCACATAAACATATAGCACGCATTCTTTTTTCAATTTTGTATTTTTCTAGTTGTTTTCAATTCTTTTCGTTTTCCGACATGTGGAGACAATACAGAGTTGTTCACAGCTAGAAGAAGCAAAGACAGGAATCAAACAGAAAGATCTAGAAATAGAAACAATAAGCTACTAGGAACAAGTGCATCGCTTCTAGTAACAAGTGCCTTACTAGTAGTAACAAGAAGCACTCAAAAGACAGAAAGGTCAAAAATCCGCTCCGAACGGCCCCGCCTTGTGGACCAACATGGCAAAAGCCGGTGCCCCCATCTCCGTCACCCAGGTACCTCGGTCGGTAAGGCCAGGAGAGCCCCTAGTAGCGTTTTTGTTACTACTAGTAAGGCACTTGCTACTAGAAGCGATGCACTTGTTCCTAGTAGCTTCTTGCTCCTAGTAGTAAGGCTAGGAGCCCCTAGTAGCATCCTTGTTTCTAGTAGCGATGCCAGGAGCCCCTAGTAGCTTCTTGCTCCTAGTAGCGTCCACGGTGGGAGAATCACTGGATACTGACACTTTAAGAATAAAGGACTTTAAGGAACCTAAGAGCGATGGCCTCCAACCTACAACCTAATAGCAAAAGAAAAGAAACGGACACAAGGATATCATGGCCTGTGTTTGATCGAAAGTCTTGACAGAAACGATAAGAACAAAAAAGAAGAAGCAACACACCACACATCCATATCTTTTCTATTGCTTTTAGACTTCTAGATCTTTCTATTTCCCTTCCTGCATTTAAGTTAGGATGACACCTGGATTTTATCGCCCTACTGATACCCATCACCAGTATCAAAAGAACTTTAAACGAAAAGGACGTGTTGGTACTCTTTGTGGTTTCGGTCTTTGTCCTCGTCACCAAAACACAATCACAGCTTGGTTTCCCAAATCTACATCGCAGTGAACCCATGCCCTTCCGGTCCATCCCATGTATCCTTCATCCCGAAACAGTGCCCCACGTCGACCAGGCAGAAGGCAAGGCACACTCGCCCACCATTCTCCAGGTCGATGATGCGCTCCACCTGCGACGACATTTGCGTTTCGCTCGTGTGGAGTAGGAAGTAGGAAGTAGGGAGTGTGCAGTAGGACTTGACTTCGATTTGAAAACGACATGAATGGACCCTGCATGTCGAACTACGAGCTCGAACCTTCAGAACAAAGAATCGAACAACGGCGGGGTTCAAATAGCCTGCACTTCACAAAACCTTTCTCAAACTTGTATTTCTTATTACTACTAACGTCCTTGTTACTACTAGTAAGGCACTTGTTACTAGTAGCGATGCACTTGTTTCTACTAGCTTCTTGCTCCTAGTAGTTTGCCAGGCAATTCGAACCACGAATCTCTGGCTTTGGCATCGTTTCGCTTCAAGCCCAAAGGAGCCTCTAGTGTTGCTCCGGTGGACACTCTTTTGGCTTCACCTCGTTTTGGCCCAGGTCGCGGGGTTCAGGCCTGGATCCCGTAGAATGGCTCCTGGCAGAGGGGACCCACCGAAACAGAAAAAACTGGATCTCCACATGCAGCAAGCGGTGGTGTCCTTTTAGAATTTGAGAATGGGTCTCCGCGCTCCCAAGAATGTCTCTCTGCAACTGGAATCTGTAGGGGAAACGATTGTTTGAAGGGTGGCTTCAACCAACTTGACATTTCATCACTGGCTTGATGACTTGCATTGATGTCAGCGAGAAGGACAGTGTGCCATATGCCTCAGACATATCCCTTGAAAAGACTTCTTCAGGAAGCTCGCAGCAATGGAACGCATATCGCAGTGGACCTGGTTCATTTGGCGTTCTTTCCCAATTTCTTTGACCGAAACCATATGGAAACCATCTGGATGGGCGCTCCAAAAAGGCACATGCACTTGGCTGCGCCTCATGTGGATGGGGCAAGTAGAGTGGCTGTGGCGGCACGCGCGTGGTGGGGAAGCCGTTCACGGGATTAGCGTTCTCCATCTTCAAGATGTAGAACCTTGGGTCGGGTTCAACGGGATTTTGCGTCAGATTTGGGTCGGTTCAATCCCAGTTGACTTCCCGAAAACCAGGCTATCCCAGATCAGGCTTCAAAAAACACCATCGATTTCCTCAGGTTTGCAAAATGAACAAAGTGAGGGGTACCGTCCATCGATATGCCCCCAAACAATCACAACATAAGCTTAGTAGCTTCGTGTTCCTAGTAGTTCTGTGGTTCAAATCCAAGAGGTTTGTCTTCTACAAACGGTCTTGTTCTTGTCACGGCTCCACAAGAGTTGCAACGATCTTCCCCACATCACCCGTGGTAAGGTGAAGCCTCGTTTGACTCTTAGATCGGAACCTGATCCTTTTCAGGGAGTACTGGAACTCTCATCTATTCTTGAGTGTCTCAAACAAGAGCGCCTAAACATCACCGGTCGTGGCAGGCAATACAGGATGAGTAGGTCAAGATAGCCACCTTCCTTCCAAATGCTACTAGCGATGGCCTCCAACCTACTAGCGATGGCCCGACAACCTATGGGAAAGGGACGCTCGTCTCCAGACCTTTCAGCACCTCCTGCCCCGCTGGTTCGGTCCCAAATATCTCCGAGAGGCTCTCGTTCCTCCACCCTGGGGCTGAGAACGGGCGGACGAAGGAGCTAGGGCACATGACCTAGAAGTTGAAGACTCAGTGCTCTGGTATTTACAACTATTCCACTGATGAGGTATACCGGTATACCGTACCCAATACCGAGTGCCCAAGGAGGCCCATATTGGAAGGGACGGACTCCGATGGTGACGGGCAGTAGAGCAGCAAAGCTTGTCCTACTACCGCTGGCAATAATTTTAAACTTTCTCAACGGTATGGTTATGGTACACTTCCTGACAAGGACTTTTAGAGCTTTGCCAGTGTTCTTTTTCTCGCATTGTTTAAAACAAAAACCAAAGAAAGATGCACAGCATGTTCGTCAACTTTGAAAGGACTATATTGGATAGACCGCACTCCGTGTCTGGGGACTTCACTGGGCTTGACCCTTGCAAACAAAGAACCGGTGCGAAGACGAGAAAAATCACGTCACCAAGAGATAAGTGAGATAAGTGACAAGAACTAAACACTGGGACAACTCCTGTTCAATTGGGTAAAAGTGCAAAGCTGCCAATCTGGTTCGTGTCCAACCCACCCCGTGATCGGTTTATACATGATACCCCCCGGTTGGAGAAAACACACAATGACGTCGCTTCCTCGGGGAAAACCACTGACACACGCCGATGCTGGAATTCACCAGCGGTGCCCCGAGCATGCAGCCGGGCGTCTCGAAATTTCCTCCTCGATCCAGCGAAATGCTGTAGATGATGTCTCCAGTCTTGGGAGACCTTAGATGTTCAATCCACCAAACAAACAGGAAGCTATTAGGGGCTCCTGGCCTTAGTACTAGGAGCAAGGATGCTATTAGGGGCTCCTGTCCTTACTACTAGGAGCAAGGATGCTACTAGGGGCTCGACTTCTCAGGATCCTTTCACTGGAGAACGTCTCCCTTTGCAAATCTTGGCAAGTGATCTGCAGAAATCCCTTTCCCCACCATCCAATGGGTGAAAGCAATCAACGAACCAGCTTTATGCCTCTGCCCGCTTGGATGTTTAGGACACCGTCCGTCCAAGCTTACCCCACCAACCTCTCCCTTTTCAGAGACCCCTCTTTTGAGCACGGAAAGTGAATCAACAGCCGCCTTCCTTGCCCAAGTGGCACAGAAGAGACTCTCAGCAGTGACTCACTTTCGTGCAAGACCTGTCACAGTTGGCAGCTCCCAGAAAGCAGAACAGCAGTAAGCAAAGGCTTAGCTAGTTTTGAATTGATGATCAAAACACGTTGCACAACTCCCTACTGCTGACACGAGAAAACACAGGAAATACCAGGGATGTCAATATCTTACATTCAGATCAAACCTGGCCCTAATTGGCGAGTGTCCACCTTTGAGCACACACTCATGTCGCAAGCTAACATGAAAGCTTGATCTATGTCACTGAAAGAACTCCAGTACACCCCGAATGTCAACACGGTTCCTCTGATTGTTCAAAGTCACCACTCCCCACGGTAGGTAGATTCCCAACTAAGGTGTCGAATCCACAGATGGATACTGCACAGCTAGTTTTCTTCACTTCTTCATGGTGGCACCATCATCTCAGCCAGTTTCTAACTTTACAAGGTGAGCTGAAAACGACCCAAACAATCTAGAAGACGGTGCCTTAGTTCCACAATACCATTTCACAAGTTAATGGACATCGCAGCAACACCAACATTTAAAAAACAAACATAAAATTCCCATCTCTTTAGATAGGCCATCCATGTTTCTATGCTAGTCGTTCACGTCCATTTGCTCCACAGCGTCACCAGCCTGGTGAGCGCCACTCCTTGGGGTCCCCAAAAGAGCAACAGCAAACCGCCAGGACTGATGTGAACTGAAAGCCCAATTGCAACTACAGTGCATAGCTGCATAGCTCTCTCATCCAGCTAGTACTAGGTACTGATCACCACTTGCTGATCTCTAATGATTGCTTTTGCAACTCACTCCAATCTGTGGGTGATCTGTCATTATAAGGTGAGGTATGACGAACAACAGATTCAAGAGCTCCCCATGCAGGACACCATCTGCCAAGTCCACTCGAGAAGCCGAGAAGCAAAGTGCTGCATCTGATGTTCCCAAGGTTCACAGGAATCATCCGCGAAACAAATAAACCACTTTTTTCATATATTCTAATTGAATTCTATTTATATATTGTTTCTAATAGCTTCTTGTTACTAGTAGTAAGGCCCTTGCTCCTAGTAGCGATGCCAGGAGCCCCTAGTAGCGTCCTTGCTCCTAGTATGAAGCTGCTTGGCTTGGTGTTCTCAACAACCTACAAAGCCACATCCAAATGCTTCAAGACTGTGGTGACCCCGCTCCTGCTATCAATGGCGATGATGCGCTTGCGGTCGCAGCCAATCAGCATCGGAAACCTCCATTCCATGCGAGCCATCGAAGTAACCAAGTACCCTATCCCTATGGTGAGGGCCGTAGCTAGGACTAGTAGTCCTCACAAGACCAGGGAGTCTCAGCATATAAAAGCAAAAGGCTTCCTATCATCAGGCATCCAGGTGACGTTATTTCCAAGAAAACCATTGGCGCCAGTTTCGCAGTCAAGACACTTTGGATGCTTCTGCAAGGTGCTGATATCACCTTGGACACGGACATTCCCCGGAACAAGGTGAACAATCAGATAGGTGATAGAATGGCCGACACCCTGAATAAACATTGACCTACCTGTCTGAGCTGATAGATGCTAGGATCTGACTTCTATCTGATGTGTCGAACCTGAACAACTTCTGACACATGTGGATGATTTACGAGAAAGAGTTTAGATCAATGATGAACCTGAAGCGTCACCCAAATCTTGAGGTTGATCCAAAAGGGTTTATTCGCTTTGCTTTCTGTTTTGTCTCAGATTGGCCCAGGAGGGGCAATATCTATTCGGGGAGTGTGTAGCATTTCCCATGCACAACTCGGACATCCACCTCTAGCGACATGTGCTCCATTGGTTGCAGCTTGGAGCAGAATGTAATTGAACAGTTAGTAACTAAATGATTCAAATTTACTTACATTTTAATCTAATAACAAAGACTTATGAAGTATCCCTAAGAATCTAGGAACCACATGAACAGTGCGTGAGCCATCCCGCGTCCAGTTAGGAGCTAACTAAGCCCCTCCCCCCAAAAAAAGTAGGCGCCTCCGTAATTCAGGGGAAGTCCGTCGACGGTGACACATCCTCTCACATCTGGTCACTCCCTCGACATTTCGTTCGTGAAGCTGCAACAGGCTCGACGTGGCGTGAAAAACTTCTCGGTCCGGAGGTGCCAATTTGAGTTTAACCAGTCAGTCCCTGAGTCTCCCACACAGCTCCTGTGGCAGCAATTCGCTTAAAGCCTGCAAGTCAGCATGATCTCAAATGAGGACAGCTCAAGCAAAGAAAATTGTGTGAGACTCGACATTATCCCTTTCTTGCGGAATGTCTTCCAATGAGATTGGAGTCGTGAGTAGGCAAGGGCTTAGGTGTACGTGTGTGCTTTATGGTGATGAGGCATGACCGAAATGAGCTTCTCTCTACAAAACCACAGGATCCTTGAAGTAGTAGGGTCATGTCTGAACGGAACAACCACGGTAATTCCGCTCCATCCAAATAGAGGGACTGCTCGTACAGGACGGCAGGTCATCTAAAGGAGAAGAATTCGTTGGCCAACGGCAAAGAGTCACCGACAGACAGTCAGAGTCAGAAATAAATTAATGGAAACCACTGAGAGCCCTAGGGCGCCAGTAGCCGAAACCACCAGCTTCATGCCTCTTCAAGCAACCAGCGAACGGATCGCAAGAAGGAGTGTTGGTTCTGGCTCAACCCCAACACGAGCATGCCATAGACAAAAATCATCCACCGATTGCCAATAGGTAACGACGCGTCGGTCAAAGAATTGATGAAGTATATACAAAGAGATCCACCCCGCAGGAATCAAAGAACGACGGAAAGAGAACCAAGCGACGAAGACGTGCTGCGATGGGCATCCCAAGTGACCATCAGGTCATGTGGTATGTAGCTCTTGAAGCTGTTGGGTGTATGGGCTGTACCAATGCGTGGCATGAAGTAGATCCAAGGACTATGTAGCGCGCGATAGTGACAAAGTATCCGGTAAAGGGACTTTGCATGAAAACCAAAACAAAATGCCAAAAGGCCTAGCTGTACATCATGAAGTCTATACAAGAAATGAAACTGCTCATAGTGAGCACTGTACACACCGTCTCGTCCCTCCTTACCCGATCACCCTCGGTATGTGTACAAAGCAAGGAGGATAGACGCCGAGGAACCACAGGATCCTTGAAAGGAGTTCCACACTGGTGCTTTTTTATGCCCAACTTGAATGTGACCATCGACCAATGCAACCAATGTATTCTTACTCGCCTTGCCCCTCTAGTCCGCGAAGCGGCGAAGCGCGACGCTTCGCCCCGCAATGCGCCGCATCCGAGCACGCATTAGCCTCCAACCTACTAGCAATAGCCTCCAACCTAGTAGCGTCCTTGTTACTAGTAGTAAGGCAGGAGCGCCCCTAGTAGCGTCCTTGCTCCTAGTAGCGATGCCCTTTGTTCCTAGTAGCTTCTTGTTGCTAGTAGCGATGGCCTCCAACCTAAATGCATTAGCCTTGAAGCGCATCTGGATCGCGGCAGCCGGCCGGCACTCCATGGCGCCGTCGCAGGTTAGGCCACCGTCACCAGTGTCTGTGGAGAAGTGCAATGGAGCCCCCTCTTTCAAACAGGTTCAGGAGCTCCGTTCGTAGCGTCCTTGCTCCTAGTAGTAAGGCCAGGAGCCCCTAGTAGCGTTTTTGTTACTACTAGTAAGGCACTTGTTACTAGAAGCGATGCACTTGTTACTAGTAGCTTCTTGCTCCTAGTAGTAAGGCCAGGAGCCCCTATTTGTATTGAATTGTGACTATTGGTGCCATTGGGTTGGAGGTCATTGCAGCAAGTTGGAGGCCATCGCTAGTAGGTTCAGCTGGTAGGTTCAGGTGTTGTTGGTGTGGTGGATCCCACCTTTAGTGGGCTTGGCTGGCTTCAGTGGGGTGTTGTGGGGACAGGTCAGGGATCTGGTTGGCTTCCCTTTTCCCGGCACACGGGGACACCTCCTGTAGGAAGTGTTCGGATTGAGCATCTAGGCATGGGTCCCTTCTTGGTCCATCTCACCCCAGAACCCATCATGCGTGGTGCAGAGCTTCGAGGTTTGGAAATGGGTGAGTCCCAACAGATCCCAAGCCGCATTTGGAGTTCTATCCCCAAGTAGACTGTGCCGTTCTATTCGCTCTGCACCAAGGACTGTGACCTGCAGCTTTGGGATGGGGGTGCGAAGCTTCAAATGCTTGAGCATTACCAGTCATCGACGCAAAAGATGTCCGGTCCATTCTTTCGACCTCTCGACCTCTGGTGCAGCTAAAGCAATCGACATCTCCGACAACTGAGTAGCTTCTTGTTCCTAGTAGCGTCCTTGTTACTACTAGTAAGGCACTTGTTACTAGAAGCGATGCACTTGTTACTAGTAGCGTTCAAGGCACATTGAAAAGTGATGAATCCTCAGGTCCTCATTTTTCTCCACGCACGAAACGCCTCCACTTCCCCTGTTCCTATCAGTGTCTCCCTTGTCACTCTTGCTCACGTTTGCGCCGGCTGTTCAGCCCGAGGTTGGCACTCCCGAAAGCCAAGTTCAACGCAGTGCCATCCATGTCCATCGGAGGCTAAATCTTCAAGTTTTGGATCGTCTCAGAGATCGTCTTCTGCAACGAACTTTCAGCCATTGTTTGAAGGTCTGGATCCATCAGCCGTTCGACACCATTTGACACCAGGCACATCGGTATGTCGCTATGCAGGCCAGTTGCAAACGCTCGCCTTTGAGTTGTTGATCAAACCGGAGGAAAGCAACAGCTTTCGTATCCGTATCCGACATACACACGAGTTTCCATCAAACAGGACTTCATTTCAAAAGAAATATCGAAAGACTAACACAGAAACTGGTCGAACAAAGAAAGTTTACAGCAGCTTCCCACGGACAAACATCATTTCGGAAAATTGACGTTGATACGGGCCTTTGGGTTGTGCAGTTTCATTTTTTGCCCCAAAATTCTATTTTTTTAATTTATTGTTTCTAATAGCTTGTTTACTAGTAGTAACAAGTGCATCGCTACTAGTAACAAGAAGCTACTAGTAGTAAGGCCAGGAGCCCCGAACGTAGCGTCCTTGCTCCTAGTAGCGATGCCCTTTGCTCCGAATGTAGCGTTCAAGCCACATAGGTGGCCGTCTTCTCCGTGGAAGCCACGCAGCGGGCCCGGAGCTCGGGCGGTTCCAGTGCCACCAGGGCCGACATGTTCCACTCCACGCCGGGCGACCAGCCGGGCCAACGCTCCTGGTCCCGTCCCACCCGGGTTAGAGCGGCGAACTCGGATCAGCTTTTCTTGTGTTGAAGGGTTCTGAAAAGCGAGCAAGACTTGAATCTGGCGGTTTTTGCTGGGAAGATGTTGTCGGTCGGCATACAGCATACTCACTATAGGATTCTCCCATTCCCAGTTCCAAATCTAAAGCTCGGAACAACTGCATGCAGGGGACTCATGAGTCCAAAGAAGCTTCCTTGAGAATCGTTTCACTGGGAGACCGACCGGACCCTTTCGGCGTCCTCCAGAAGCGAGTCCCTGTTCCTAGTAGTAAAGCCAGGAGCCCCTAGTAGCATCCTTGCTCCTAAGAGCCTTCTCTGTTGGCAGTCCTTCATGACGTGCTTGTGGCGCAGCTCCAGAAACTCCTGGACCAGCGCCTCGCCACTCGGAAGCTACTAGTAACAACAAGCTACTAGGAGCAAAGGGCATCGCTACTAGGAGCAAGGATGCTACTAGGGGCTCCTGGCATCGCTACGAACGGAGCATTCTTGCTTCTAGTTAGTAACAAGAAACTACTAGGAGCAAAGGGCATCGCTACTAGTAACAAGTGCCTTACTACTAGGAACAAGAAGCTAGTAGTAACAAGCTACTGTCCCTGTGGCGCCTCGGCCCTCGGCAGCGGAGTGCCTGCGTTGGGCAGCGTGAGCATCCACTTCCGCCAGGTCTCCACGGCCTGGTGCAGCGTCTCGTTGGCCTCAAGCGGGGCGCCCGGTGAACGACATTGTAATGCCCTTTGTGACGGTGCCTATGTCGTAAATTGCTACTAGAAATGCCCTTGTTACTAGTAGCGCTCTTGTTACTAGTAGCAAGAATACTACTAGTAGTAATGCCCTTTTTTACTAGTAGCGATGCCAGGAGCTCCTAGTAGCTTCTTGCTACTCATAGTAAGGCCAGGAGCACCCCAGTAGCGATGACAGGAGCTCCTAGTAGTTTTAGTAGTAGTTTCTGCCTGTGCTTCTACCCTAACAGTTCTCAACCTTTGGAGGCCGTTTTCAACAAAAACCTGCGTGACTGCCAAGCAATTCAGAACACCCTTTTTCGCCATCTCGGGCCTGCGTCAACCGCTTCTTCCCGCCTGTCCGGCGACTTTCACGAGAAGCACACTATTATATGGCAACAGGGAAAGACGATTACGAAAACACCCAGGAACCAAACAGCACATGCTATTCAGGAACCAAACGGTGGAGGCCATCGCTATTAGGTTGGAGGCCATTACTACTAGTAGCAAGAAGCTACTAGGGGCTCCGGCCTTACTACTAGGAGCAAGGATGCTACTAGGGCTCCTGGCATCGCTACTAGGAGCATTCTTACTACGAACGTAACAAGAATCTTGCTCAAAGGAATCGAGTTCCGCGCCTCGTCCGGCCGCCAAGGATGCCAGGGTCATGCCTGCCTTGTTCTTAAAGATGCTGCTGATTTGTTTCTCCATGTAGTCATGCAACGCATTCAGGCGCATGCGTTCGTCCCGGACGGGGATAGGCCTGGAAAGGTGAAACTGGGCGAAGAAAGGAGAGTCATTTCGGAACATAGTGGTCCCGATAGAGAAAGAAATCCTAGTAGCATCCTTGTTCCTAGTAGTAAGGCCAGGAGCCCCTAGTAGCGTCCTTGCTCCTAGTAGCGATGCCAGCCAGGTGATTGATGCTGTGCCACTCACCTTCGAACAACGCTTCTTATACCGAAGATATCTTCGGCAATGTTGGCATCGCAAGGGAGATCTCGATACGGTGCCAATCCCACCGGCACCAAATTAGGAATTTATGCTGCGCGGACATTCGTTTTCACGTAGATGACCCATGTACAGTGCATCTTTTGTATTTACACGACATTTGATTCTCACCGCACTCCCGGATACCCCCTACAACAGGGAAGGATCTTGGGAAGTGTCAGGACATGCGCAAGTTTCGGGAGTAGCGATGCCAGGAGCCCCTAATAGCTTCTTGCTCCGTTCATAGTACGGCCAGGAGCCCCTAGTAGCATCCTTGCTCCTAGTGCCCAACCCCACATCTCACTTTTCGTGTCAGGCGGCGGGGCTTGGGGCGATTCGTAGGACCAAAGATTCCTTGGCTGCCGACATGAACCCAATGCATCGTTTCACGACGAAACGCATCCCCTTTGGTTCACGAAAGGATTTTCAGACTCCCATTTACCGGCAAAACTCCGGCAACACCCATTTCAGTATGGAGCGGTGGAAATAAAACAAACAAGAAAAAGACACATGATCTGCTCAGCAGTGCCATGTTTCAAGGAGGCAGTGTCCTCAAAGGGTTGTTCGAACTGATGCCACCAGTGACCTGTGCAGTCTGAGTGGGTCATGAAAAGCTCAACATCTGCAGAAAACACATCTGTGAGGTTTCGGTCCCTTCCGGACTCTCAGCTCCAATCCTCGTTTTGCCGGGCAATCCATGCAAAAAAAGCATCAGTTGGACAACACCATTTCTCTTGTATGATCGTGTTCAGACACAAATAGTGATGTGGTCCTTCAACCTGTTCACAGTGAACAGACTAGTGAACAGACGCTTTGGTCACCTTTCCCCGCGCGTCCGCCCTCGCCTGGGAGGAAGAAGACGCCGCCCGGGCCGATGACCGTCTCCCAGAGCGTGGCGTCCACGAAGCCCGGATGCTTCGACCAATCGGGGTGAGAGATGTTCACTTGCGAGCTGCCGGCGTGAGGGTGGCCATTGGGAAACGGATACCTGAAATGCGACACGTCGTGGAACCACAAGTGTCACAAGGGGTTCTATCCGGCAGTTCCGACCAAGTTGCGTGACCAACGAACCTTGTGAACATCTGCGAAGAGTATCTTAGCATGTTGCTCGTTTTCATTGTTCTTCTTATCTTGGCCAAGGGTACAGTGCTCGCAGTTGTCCGGGCTCTGCCAGGGTCACTCGCTTTCTTCCCCATGCCATAATGTAGAGGTTGTCTGCTGAGTCGTAGTGTAGCGGCATCGTCCTGACTCTGCGGAAGCAAAAAAGACAGGTTCCCGGCCTCCCAGTCTTTTGCCCCAGAAACAGCTGAAGCCTCCAACAATGAAAAGACACACCGTTGATCACCCCAGTGTCACTCCGCGCTGGCCGATCCAAAGCTTGGCGTTTGCCACGCCCGCGAAGAACGCCTGCCGCTGCGCCAGCGGCCGCAGCGCAGCCAGAGTGGCCGCCAGGTCCGCGTCCAGTGGCGGCGGCGCCGCCTGGCCGGCGACCTTGGAAGAACAAACGAAGGCTCCGACTGGCTGGCTGGCTTTGTGGCATTCTAGCCTGTGAGTTGACAAAGCAAATGGTGCACACTATAGAATATCCAAGTGCTCTTTTGGTGGCATAGCCCC